GGGTTGGTGCCGCGCAGAGCAGGAAGGCGGCGCGCAGAGCGCGGGCGCGGGAAGGCCGGCTGGCCGGCGAGCAGCATGGGGTCACACACGTGTCACAGGGATATGCACAAGGAGGCCACGTTGTTTTGTCGTTTTGGCATTTCCTGATGTGGTCCGGGGGGGGCCGGGGCCACCCGCACTTGGAAGCCGCCCGGAGCGGAGCGGGGGCGTTTCTCCCCAGACAGGACCGGGCAGCCCGCTCCGCTCCGCTTTCCTGTGGGGTGGACGCGACCTCGGGGCAGCTCTAGTCCGACCCTCGACCCCTCCACCATCCCAGCCTGGGCTTCCTCCAGTCAGGCTTTAAAAGCCTCGAAGGAGGGAGAGTCCACAGCCTGCCTGCGAAGCCTGCTCCAGTGCTTTACTGCCCTCCTTGTAAGAAAGGTTTTTCCTAACATCCGAACTAAACTTCCCTCGCTGTAGCTTGAGACCACTGCTCCCTGTGCTGTCATCTGCCAGAACTGAGAACAGTCCAGCTCCATCCTCTCTGTAACCCCCCTTCACATGGTTAAAGGCGGCTATCAAATCCCACCTCCGTTTTCTCTTCTCCAGACTGAATAAACCCATTCCCTCAGCCTCTCCTCAGGAGTCGTGTCCAGCCCCCTAAACATTTTCGGTGCCCTCTATTGGACTCTCTCCTAGGTTCCCCTTAATCTCTCTGCGCTTCCTAGGCCTCTCTCCTTTTTAATGGTCTTGATGTCCCACCAGTCAAGCCGTCCTCTCCTCAGCAAGGCCCTGTCTCGTAGCCCCTCCTGGGCACGCCTCTTCTAGTCCACTGCCCCGCAGACCGCTTTTAGCTCTGGGTAGAAACCTTAACTGAAGTGTGGTCATGTTAACTCAGATGTAGAAGTGACTGACGGTGAAGTATCGGAGGCACGGGCAAGACGCTGGGGAAGGCTAGCTTTTGTTTTGGAATCTGTACGAGACACACATTTAACTATAATGACTACAGGATTAACTATGCAATCTCTGTGGACTATTTTTCCATAGTTTGCTGTGGTTTTTTTTTAACTTAAATATATTCTCAAGCAAATACCTGCACCTTCCAATAGTTACTTTTTTTTTTTAATTTGATCATAAACTGAACAATATCGTGTTGAATAAACTAGCATGTTAGTAGGGGTCTACTGAACTCGAGGCAGCAGCTGGGTGATTTTGCAGGCAGACCCCAGGGCCAGCAGCCATGTTTGGGGGGTGCTCATGGCAGGCCCACCCCGCCAGGCACACACACTTCTAGCCCTGCCCTTTAGTGCTGATTGGCTACAAGGGCTGTCTGTCATACGGCCCCACCACCAATTTCATAGATTTCATAGACATTAGGGGCTGGAAGGGAACTCAAGAGATCATCAGGTCCAGCACCTCGCCATAGGCAGGAAGTCAGCTGGGATCAAGTGACCCCAGCAAGAAATAAATCCAGCTGTTTTTTGAAGGAATCCAGAGTAGGTGCTTGCACCACCCGTGTGGGAGTTTGTTTCAGACCCTGGACCCACACACTGTAAATAACATTTTTCTAATATCCAGTCTAAATCGACCTTCCTGGAGTTTATGGCAATTAGACCTTGTTATCCCTTGGGGAGCTCTGGTGAACAGATGTTTTCCCAGGTCCTGATGTGCCCTGCTTTTGAAGTTGTAGGCTGCCACCAAGTTCCCCCTGAGATTTCTCTTCTCCAGACTGAAGAGTCCTATCTCCCTCAGCGTCTCCTCGTACGGCCTTCCCTCCAGGCCTTGGATCATATGAGTGTCTCTCCTCTGGACTCTCTCAAGCTTCTCCACACCCTTCCTGAAGTGGGGGGGCCCAATACTGGATGCAGTACTCCACTGCAGTCTCACCAGGGCTAAGTAAAGCAGAAGGATGACTTCCTTGGTTTGCTTGAGATGCATCGGTGGATGAATGCCAGAGTTTGGTTAGGTTTGCCCGCCACTGCATCATATAGATGGCTTATATTCATCTTGTGGTCAATCAAGACCCCTGAGTCCCTTTCAGTCATGGTGCTAGCAAGTGTAGCACTGCTGAGCCTGTAAGTATGCTGAGGGTTCTTCCTACCGAGGTGCAGCACCTTGCACTTCTCTGTATTAAAGGCCATCCAGTTTTGGTCGGCCTACCTTGAGAGTGTGTGCGAGTCGGCCTGTATCCCCAGCCTGTCTTGCGGTGTGACAGCTCTCCCACATAATTTGGTATCATCCACGAACTTAGCCAGTTCATATCTGACTCACAAATCTAGATTGTTGATGAAAACATTAAAGAGTACCGAGCCCTGAGGGACTCCATTGGTAACACCGTGCTACATTGATTTGCTCCCTTCAACTAGTACTCTTTGGGTCCAACCCCATAGCCAGTTGCCTAGCCATCAGACCATTTGATGATCTAGGCCACAGATCCCCAGCTTAACCATGAGGGCATCATGGGGAATAGATCAAAGGCTTTCTTGAAATCCAGATAAATAGCATCCACATCATCTCCTTTGTGACTGGCAGGTCTTGCCTGACCAACCTCATCTCCTTCTATGACCAGGTAACATGTCCTGGACAAAGTCATGTTGGCTGGCATTCAGAAGCTTGCTTTCTGTTAGTCTGGTGTTAATGGATCCCTTGACAATTTTCTCCAGAATTTTTCCAGTGACGGATGTTACAGTGATTGGTCTATAGTTCCCCAGCTCATCCCTTCTCCCTTTCCTGTAGATAGGGACCATGTTGGCTCTTTTCCAGTCATCCAGGATTTCGCCCGAGCGTCACAATTTTTCAAATATCCCTGGCAAGAGGGATGTAATGACGTCTGCTAGCTCTTTCAAGACCCTTGGGTGCATTACATCTGGGCCTGTGGACTTGTGAATGTCCAGTTTTTTAGAGTGTTACCTTACCTGATCCACATCAATTTTAGGCCCGTCACCCACTCCCAAACTGGTTTGTGCCATTCCTGGTAGTGTGAGCCTCGTGGGAGGGTGAAAAACCAATGTGAAAAAGTCATTATGAGATTGGCCCTTCCTTGGGCCCCGTTGGATCTCTCAGGGGCTCAATACTGTCCTTGTTCTTTTTCATGATTGATGTCACCAAGCTTCCCCTCAATCTGCAGATAACTCACCAGGTCCTCCCCTTTGGCCAGGACTACATCCAGCAATCCCTCTCCCCTAGTTGGCCCATAGACCTCCTGGGTCCTGCATGTGAGAAAACTATGCGACCTGTCAGATTTGGCTGTGCAATCATCCCAAGAGATGTCAGGGAAGTTGAATTCTCCCATGACAATCAAGCATCGGGAGCATGCGGCCTCGACCAGTTCCCTAATGAATTCCCGATCTAGGTCTTCCTCTTGGTGTGTGGGGGGGGGGGGTCTATAGTAGACTCCTACAAGTAAATCACCTTCCCTATGCTCTCCTCATATCTCGACCCAGAGGGTCTCAAGACACCCTTCCTGGTTTGGAAACTCAATCTGCAGGGAGGTGAGCTGATCTTTGACATAGAGAGCAACACCCCCACCCCTCTTCCCCACACAGTCTCTCCTATACACAGTGTAACCCTTTACTGCCACCGACCAATCATAGGTGGAGTTCCACCAGGTCTCCGTAATTCCTACAAGGTCATAGTCATTATCACATAGGAGAAGGGCCAGTTCCTCATGCTTGTTTCCCAAGCTCCTGGCATTTGTGTACAGGCAGTTAAGTCTGCCAGGTGAAGCTCAATGCTTCCCTGAGGGGTTAAGAGGGGCCTTTCCTTGGGCTGTTGGATCCCTTGGGATCCCTTAGGTTGCCCAAGGTATTAGTAGTGCAGCTGACATGGCCTGAGCTAAAACTGTTAGTAGACTGCCCATCCCCCAGCGGTCTCAGTTTAAAGCCCTGTCAAGAAGGTCAGCCATTTGGCTGAGAAGAGCTTCTTCCCTTTCCAGGTGAGGTGGAGGCCATCCCTTCCCAAGAGTCTGCTCTCGCTGAAGTGCAGACCGTGGTCGAGGAAGCCAAACCCCTCGCAATGGCACCATCACCAGAGTCTCCTATTCACCTTGCCGATGCACCTGTCCCTCCAGAGCCCATGTCCTGTGACGGGGAGGACTGAAGAGAAAACTGTCTGAGCCCCCAAACCCTTGAGCCCAGCTCCCAGAGCCCTGTAGTCATGCATGACTAGGCCCGGACTTCTCCGT